TCCTTAGCGGCACTCCTCCTGCATTGGCGATCTGCACGGGCATCTGAGCGTTTCCCTACAGCTCCATGGTTGACCCTACTCCTCCTCCTCTTCCTCCTCGCCTGTGTGCTTTATGTGTTTATGTGCCCAGGACAGCAGGAGCGGGCACAGGACAGAGAGCTGCTGGGGGTGAGGCCTGCCCACCAACCAGTCATCGACTAGACTAAACTCCCCGCCTCAACCCTGCTGATCAAACCGCTCAGTGAGTGTGTCAGTCAGCCACACTGTCTCAGCTATCTGAAGATATCTATCAACCACAAATCAGCAGGAGAACAGACTTCACGCTTCCTCTGCCAGCGACAAAGCTGACACGTTAAGCCTGAAACAAAAGCCTCAAAGTAAAGTGCAAGAGCGAACGAAAGTCCTCCACTTGTCCCTGCAACATAAACAAGTCAGCATCTTAAATGGAGGAACTGGCTCTGACAGATAGGGGAACTCACATTAGTTTCTGTGTGTGTGCGTGTGTGAATGTGTGCACAAGAGGGAGGGGAGAGAGAGAGAGAGTCAGAGTGAGAGAGAGAGAGAATAGTGAAATGCAGTACCAGCAGAGGAAGGAGGAGGAGAGTTAAGAGAGAGATGGTGATGAGCAATCAACTGAGCACCATCAGTGCACTCCAGGAAGTGACAACTGCGGTTATTTGTAAGAGGCAACAACAAAAAAAGTGCCACACCTCAATGCCACTTTTTGTTTCCTGGAGCATCGCATGAACTGGGCAGAAGAATAGATTCCTGGAAAGAAATAATGTTCCTATCTCCCTGCTATATTTGTTCATCCAGGGTCTCCCAAATCACGTATATAATCCTGAATTCTTCTTTCTCGTCACCCCCTCTGTCATTTCTCAGGGTGGCAAGTGATTACACAGGGAGGTAGTGTTTGTGCTTGTGAATGTGCCTGTGCAGCTGGACAGGGAGTCTCAAAGGCATCCTTGTTTTAACACATCGAGAGGAAGAGGCGATCAAACAGGGGACATTAATGTTCCCGAGTCTGCAGAGGTGGCTTCTTTGCAGCAGGAAGCTGACTGGCTGGCAGGGAGAGTGTGGGTGATATGGCATTCAAAAGCAGGGGAGAGATGCACCGAGGCACGGGGCCCCTGCATGCTAAGTCCCCCCAAAAAATGCATCTGGATTTGCATTAGAAAGACGATCACTGAGGGACTTAAACATGGGAATGATGAATTAAGAAACGAATAATGTGATAATTTAACTGTAATCTTAAGCAACAGCACTTTCAAAAAGGAAAAGTTGCAATCAATTTGTCCAGCTGGTAAATAAAGACATTTGGTAGATCATAAATTCAATAAGATCATGAAATAAATTCAAATCGTTAAAGCTATTAACGGATTGTGAATTTTGTTATGAAGCTTTTATTTCTTGTAAATCCAGAAGTTAATTAAATCGACGGGTTTGAAAAGAGACTTTAACAGGGTTTCTGTTGAATCAAGATGGAATGGGGCACTTTAATATGTGAATAACATACTTAATACATCGTTAAGGAATTCGATTATTTTATTGTGTGAAAAATTCATAAACTTTTGTCACCGTTAGCTGTTCACAAAGTAATTAGCATAAAGCTAGCGTTAGCCTAACATTATTTTGGAGCCACCTTGCATCTTTGCATCAGCCCTTTATATCGTTTGATGTACGTTATTATGTAAGGTTTGAGGAACCAGAAAACTTTACTTTACAAGACAATGAACCCAGACTTACCTTTATTCAACCGTGATAAGTGAAGAAAACACATGCAAATAGAACAAACCCAAATTAAGAAAACACCTTTATCAATTTAAGTGCACATGCGAAAACAGAAACTCGGCAAAAAGCTTAAACACCGTACATGTTTCCATGGGACCCAAATAAGTGATGAACCTGTCTGTAGTGTAATGCTTTGTGAATCTATTGAAGACTGAGACTCGTCAGTGGTTATGGAACTTCTCTAAACATTGATCTACAGCCATGTTCATCACTTTCTTGGTGAATAGTTTTATTTACTTGCAAGTGTTTTTTTCTTATCTGCTGCACGTTGAGCCCCCTCGGCCTCCGTACGTTTCTAATTCTTTTGTCACTTTTGGAATCACAGGTCACTGCTTCAACTTTCTCTGCAATGTCGCCATCTTCAGGCGCGGCGTCGCACCTGCAGCTGCACTTGTGAGCCAGGACTCGAACTCCCAGAATTCATGTCAGTTCTGCTTCAGTGGTGTATCACATCCTCTTCCTCCTCACTGCTGGTTCCCCCCGGCTGCTCGGAGTTGTTGTACCCCGGATAGCAGAGTCCCCGGCCCCGCGTCAACTGCCGCCAGCTGCCATCACAGAGGGAGATGGGTTAAGCATGGTGACGGACAGATGGAGACTGTGGAGGTAGGAATGGTTGTGCAGACTGAAGGGTCCTCAGCGTGTGTGTGTGTGTGTGTGTGTGTTTCTACCTTCCCAGTCTGGTGCATCCTCACCGATTGATGTGACCGGGAGGGGTGTGCCCTGCCCGGACACTCCTGCAGATCCACCGGTGTCCTCCATGTCAGGAGAAAAGCTGCAAAATATATGATCTGATGCATTGATTATATGTGATCAGTTTAGTGTCTGTGTTTCTGAACTGAAGGAGGAAGATACCTCCTAATATCCAGTTACATCAAAAAGAATGTTTCAGCTAATTCTGGAAAAAAAGATTACTATCACTGTTATTATTCTAAAGGTATGAGGAAAAAATACACAGATTTTATTCTAATGCTCAGTCTGTCATCTTCAAATTGCTCTTGTCCACACAACAAAGATATTAAATTCAAAAGCATATTAAACAGAGACAATTCAGAATTACATGCAATCTTACTTTGGAGAAGCTGAAACAGATTCATGTTTTTTTTTTATTTTGCTCGATGAATGTTAGTGAGAAAACTATTTTTCTGTTAAATAGTCACCTTATAATTTCAAAATGGAATCAACAAAAATATCACTGTGACATTTTCTTATAAGATGAGACAAGATCACATTTTATGGAGGAAATGAGTGTGCCAGATCTTACTCCAAAGTTACAGTAACAAAGAATAATATAAAAAAACAAGTGAAGTATAAAGTATCAACTGAATAACAATACAAGTAAGATTACCAATATATCAAAATACAAAAGCATAAACTAAAAATCAGACTGAATGGGAATAGAAAAATAATCATTGTAAATAACAAATAAGAACTAAGTATTGCACATTAGATAAGTTGAATACTTTACCTGATAATAATGGAAGGAAAAATATTGTGCATTAACTAAAGTACACTCACATTGCACATACAGGACATGATAATTAAAGCGAGATATTGCGCATCATGTTAAGCAGTAATATTCTACGTCATATTGTTTGTTGAAGTGTCTCAAAGACCTTTTTGCATCCATGTCCAGTCATTAACACACATGCCAGACAACAGAGGCAGCACAGAAACATCTGGAAGCCGTTGGTCAGTGATATTTTTACAGTTAAGGGACAAAGTTGTTAAAAATAACAGGGTGGTAATTAATTACTGTTTTCATTGCAACTAAGACCTCTGCTAACACTGAGGCATAAAATCTAAAATTTAATGGCAAAGTGTTAAGGTGCATTAAAAACCTGACATAATGTCTCTGCAAAGCCCCCCCCTCCGCATTATTGATCGGACTGTGAGAAAGGATCTGGAGCATCCACTGCACTGAATGTGCATCACTTTGCTCTGATCAAACAGATGTTCAGTTACTTCAGGATAAAGTTATTATGTTAAGATTATCTGATCAATTAGGTGAGAACACAGACAGTTCACAGCTGCCTGGTTGAGCTAATTGTAATTGGAGAGTAAGCCTGTTACATGTCCTTAAACTCTTCTGTGTTCCTCAAAATTACAGTTAAATGGTGTATCATGAAAAAAAATCCTCTTATGGCCTAAAAATGTTAACTCCACTTTCCTTCTTCATTTAGTCTCCCTGTGAGGAGATTATACCCTTCAACTGTAATCGGTGAACACATAGGGTTCGGGTCTGGTTCGGACACAAAAAATGAATCCCTGTTGGGTTCTGGTGAGGCCCGCTTAGTTTTCTCTCAGACTCAGTTGGGTTTAAACAGAAAATTGCGGCCTGAGCTGCACTCATGTCAAAGCCCATTCAAGCAACTGAGCTACTGGGGGACTTTAACAATCAACAATTATAGAAGTTGATGTCAGGGAATCTATTTTCCAAATTTATTTGACCTTAAATCAAGTTTATTTTAATCAATAGATTTGTCATTAGCGACCTAAATAACCGGCTCTGTTGTAAACTTAGTTCTTACTCAGGTGCTGTGTTATGATACGCAGTTTGTGTGGATTATCTGTGTTGTGGTACATCCTGACCAGCTGAGTGTCAGGTGATACAGATACAGTCTCAGTTTTCTCCTTCGTTGTCAGAGCAGCGGATTCAGTGTTGATATACTAACACCCCTGATTCTGGAGGCTTTGAGGAAGAGTACAGCTGACTGAGGAGTGAAGGTGTGTTTGTGTGTTCTTACTGAACGCTCCTCAAAGACTAGTCCTCACCCCCTCTTTCCTTTTATAGCCTCAGACATGTGGAAGGAAGGGAGGGAGGTGTGTGTGTGTGTGTGTTGGAAGGGGGGGACAGCTTGTGTGAAGGAGTGGCCCACTTCTACAAACATGGCGGCACAGTGGGATGGGGAGCAGTGTAAATGTGTAACAAGGTGCCTGCCCCTCCCTTCCTCCCTCCCTCCCTCACCCACCATCCCTCCCTCCCTCATTTGCGGTTGGGGGGGTTGCGATGCGAGAGAGGATCCCGGGTCAGCCTCACCTCCCGTCACTCTCTCTCACAACAGCGTGAGAGCCACAGGACTCACGCTGTCCTCCAGCACACCCACACACACCAGCACTGAGAGCGAGAGACACTGAGAGAGAGGAGAGAGAAAGAGAGAGGGGGTACAGAAACCAGAAAAGACGGGGGGAGAGAGGGAGGGGACGTAGCAAAGGAGATTTTTTTTTTTAAAAAGATCCAAATCCTGAAGAAAGAAAACATAAAGGATTTTCTCTTTTTTCCTGAGGATCTGCAAATAACCCTCAGCAAAGGATGGCAGAAGGGGGAGAGGGAGAGGAGGAGATCCAGTTCCTGCGAACGGTGAGTCCTCCTCACTTTCCTTTTCGGGAGGCTGAACCTGCACCGGCTGCTGGAGAGGAGAGGAGATTTTATTAGAACACTGAGAAAGGAAATGAGATTATTGTTTAATTTACTCATTAATTCTCTTTACTCTTGACCTACAACTTTGTTTCTCGTCCAGTTTCCCCCTGGTCTCCCAGTGTCTTCACTTTTGTCACATTAGCTTGTCCGGCATTGGATATTTCAGTCTAATCTGAAGTTGCAGTTTTCAGAGCCAAGACCTGCTTCTGAATATAGTTGACTATTTTTGCATGGTCCTGAATGACACGCTTATTAGTTGCTCTCTTCAAACTTGTTAATTGATTTCTTTAATCCTCGGGTTGTTAACCCACATCACACGTTCACATTTTCATCTCTGCAGAATGCACATCATTGTCTTGCCTAATCTCTTTCAAATTACTTCCAGAATGTTCTGGGTGTAAGAATAGGTGGGTAACAGTGTATGTGTGCATATATGTGTGCGTGAGCGCCGATAGATAGACAGGGCCTGGTGCATCTGTTAGCATCGTTATCTATTTATATCTGAGGAAAGTAGAGCCTGTCGGTGTGGGGTGAGAAGGCAGAGCAACAAGCTACCCAGACCCTGCAGGGGACAGCTGGCCGAGGGCTGCTTGTCTTCCTTGGAGAAGCCAGCACACAGTCCAAGTGTAGAGATGTCCACTTCACAGACTCAAAGTCAGCAGGAGAAGACCCCAACATTGTCCTAAAACAGCTGAGATCCTGAAATGCCTTGTGAAGCTAAAGGGGCAGAGAGAGAATATTTTATTTTCCTTATTTAATCCACAAAGTTTCCATGCACATTAACTTCATATCGACTTCCTCATCAGGATAGTTCTGGAGGATCTTATCAAAATAATATTAATAAGATATTGATATGAAATTAGGATCAGAATGTCAATGGAGTTTTTTCTGAGTAGCTGATTCCACAAGATCTGATTTTTATTTTTTATTTTTTACAAACTTAAACTAGAATGTCCCTCAGCAGAGCACATATTTCCACCAAGGCCCAACAGTCCCCTGATGAAACGACACATACATTCTCTAGATCTGCACCAAATGACAAACATTATATCAGCCCCCGTAAGCATACCTGATTTTCATAAGATCAATAAATGATTCTCTGATAAATCAATGAAAATGTAAAAAAAACCAGCCCTATCTCGCAATGTTAAAGACAACCTTCCACCCAGTCTAATCATTCCAGTAGTTTTTGTTTAATCCTGCTAACTAGAAGACAAACTAATGAAAACATAAGATTACTAGTTGCGTTGGCTTTTAACAACAACTGATGAATTTAGACCAAAAGGAACATTTTTAAACAATAACATAGAAATTCATTGAAAATCAGTTTGTTTTCTGTTTTAATTGATGATTATTTGAGAAGTTGAAACATTATCACACAGGAATATCATCCCTGCTCGTTTATCTTGGAGGGAAGCATCAAACATAGTAAACAGTAAACCTGATGCGATGCTCCACCTTTCACAACTGTTGCAGCCATGTTTAATTATCTGTGTATAGTTCAAGTTACAGTAGAAAAGAGCCCAGACAGCTAAAGCAGATTATACTGATGGACAGACAGGATCCCTTCCAGGCTTGTGGTGTTCGCTCATAATAACCTCAAGAAAACCACAGACCAACACAGTCATTGCCTCTATTACACAACCATAAACAATGTTTGGTTTCTTCCTCTCTATGAGAAACTCAGAGGATAAACACTTTGAAGGCCTTCACAGGGTTCGTCCTCTAGTTCAAGAGGCTGCATGAGACACCAACACTTCTAAAGGAGAAACATTGCAGCTCTATGTGAATTATTAATATCTTGTACTTCAATGGGTTTATCTCTGACACCAACACTGTTGGGGTCAGCGGTTCAGTCCCCCACACAGGGCTAAACGTGTAAGTGCTCGTGGTGCTGTAAGGCTCTTGGATTAAAGCATCCACCCAAATTGTTTTTTCTCCTTTAATTAGAGGCAAGTGATGGGAGGCATCATGTGAGTCAGCTGTTTCTCTCCGCTGGGTTTTTTCTCTGGCTCATATTGGAGGATGGAGGTGTGATACAGGAGTGTGTGCACAGTGGAGCTCTTACCTCACCCGGACCCGCTGGGGTGGCAGGCCACAGTCGTATATATCTACTGATAGAAGCTTTTTACTGTTACATAACCTGTCCTGCAGGTTCACAGCCTCAGCCACTGAAAAGCTTTCAGCAGCAACACATCACATTATCTCACAACAATTTAATAAAGTCTTTAGAACACATTTTGCTTTTGAGTTTAGAAGAAATGCATTTTTCATCACATCACAGTGTCGAGGGCGGCAAACATTTATGTGAGTTATCACGTGAATTTAAACCAGCTGCAAAGTGCATAGAGATTATCTTGTTGAAGATTTGTTTGTAGTTTACTAGTCATATCTAGAATGGAATCTTATTTTTAGAAAACACTCCAGTGATCATCTCCACATCACAACAGGCTACACACAGATTACTCAGCAGCAGCAGCAGCAGCCCTGCCTGGTTTCATTGTGTTACTTTAACACAGCCTGTGACTCATACAACAGAATGATCACTGCGTGGCTGGTATAGTCGTACAGTACAGTCTACACTCACTCGTGGGGTTTAGCGATGCCTTGTGCTATACAGTAACTGTTAGCCCTCTGTTGAACTACAGGTGACTAGTATTCAACCTCCTGCATAATAAAAATACCCTGAAAGCACTTCAGCCCCCACATTTGCTGTCAAGAGATCTGCTGAGCTTGCAATAGCCGGCAGTCTTTCCTTTTCTCTTCAGAAACAACAGCCACTGCCTAAAGGTCTCACTATATAGACACACAAGGTAACACACATTAGATAACCGAGTCCACACAATGATTTCGTTTTCGGTGAAGGTAACGGCTGTGTCACTGTTCCACGTTGCCACACTCGCAGTGTGAATCACGTGGACGTGTGGAGTTTGAAGGGGTATTTGAGTTCCAGTCTATAACAGCAGTTTCTTTTTTTAGTGTGCCACGATAAGTGTGCACACTCTGGAGGGAGAAACCAGAGGAGTCAGTGTCCTACTTGCCAGCATCCTTTGGGAGCCTCGGTGTGTGTGTGTGGACATGGACGTGTGTTTGTGTGAATAGAATTATTAATATATTATTTTTGTCCCAGTCAAATGTGAGATTTGTGGACTAGACTGCATCTTGCGGTTTGTCAGAAATCTGATTGCAGGAAGCTCTGATTTATATATGGAAAGGTCAACTAGATGTCCCAGTTAAAACCAGGCTACATACAACTTTTCCACACTTATATTTCACTGTTAGATGGATTCTATGAAATGCAATGAAAACAGTTATTATCTTTATTTTTTATCAAATTCTTCTTAACATTTACAAAGTGCTTCACAAAAGGTGAAACAACAATAAATAACAATAAAAAGCAATACAGTAGATGGGCATTTGCAGACAGTTAAAAGCTTTTTAAAAACATTTTCAGTAACAGATGTAACAAGTCTAATCTCAGTTGTTTTTACATCATTCCAGAGTTTGGGGCCTGTACTGTCAAATGAAGGTATCCGTCTGTCACATATCATGCTCCGATAACTACCAGACAACCATGATCAGCTGATCCAATGTTTATTGGCAGACTAAATGTCTTTCAGTTTTCAACAAATCTTAGTTCATTTTTGACCTACAAATAAGTTGTTTGCTAGTTGGATACTGGTTTTTGGATAACCGCTGCAGGATTTAAAGATTTAGCCTGTTTGTTTTTGCCATTTTGCCTTTGTTTGATAGATACAGATGATATAAGCAGAAAAGAGAGAGAGGAGGGTGACAGGCAACAAAGGATCGATTGGGGATGTTGTGGTTTTATAAGATTCCTCATTCGAAACCCCACCATAGACTTTTGCTTTTAAGAGCATAGCTGAAATAGGCAGGTCTGCTTCAGTTATCAAAATGTCATCTCCCTTTATATGACTAACAGAGGGCATGTTTTAGAAATAGGAAATTTGTTATCCAATGCCAGATTTTCAGCCTGTCCTTATTTATTTATCAATAAATTACACTTGGTAATTTTCACACACACACACACACACACACACA